TTCCACAGCCAGTTGTCTCCCTTTGAGAACAACTATTTCCTTCAACCAACCGTTTTCACGTCGGAGATCAGCAGCTTCACGCTCCAAGTCTTTGGCGCGCCCCGTCAAATCGCTGATCGTCCTCTCAAGGTTGAGAGTCCTTTGTTTCCTTTTAATCCTGAAACGTGCTAGCGAAAAGGATCAGGATGGTGTCTGATCAGCATGGAAGAATAGACCTACCAGAAGCTTCTGTATTCCTTCGTCTCTTTTCTTCGGCTATTGCGTGATCGAAATCTGTCTGCGTTGAATCCGTTTCAGCTGTCGATGGTGATGCGGACGTAGTGGCATGGATAGATGAGAGATCAGCGCTCTCGAAAGGATTAATATCTTGGATTGGAAGAGAGGGTCCACTGTGAGGCTGTGATGACGAGCTCGCCGTTGAAGAATCTCCCTGCGTCTGTTTGAACTGATCCGGGTGTGTCTGGTAGTCTTGATATTGGGACAGCAACAAGTGCCAAGGAAAGTCATCAGATGAAAACGGGAGAGATTGTGCATATTTAACATCTCCTTGAACAGACAGCGGGTCGGCGAACTCAGAAGAAGATTGACAGCCTCCGTGAAGTGAGGAGTCCTTGGGAATTTCGTGCAATAGATCGTGAGCGGAGGTTCTCGCTCCAGCAAATAACTGCGCAAGTAAGATGGCGTCATTAGGCTGAGCGCCTAATAAGCCATAAATGAATGGATATACTAGGCAATAGTTTAACGCATGCAATGGCACACACCTAGGTTGCGGCTTTCTCCCGATACTTGTGTGTTTGACGGTGAAAGCGAACGAGCCCGTCGCTCTCTGGGTGGTGAAGAATGATTGTGCGATCTGCTGAAAGAAGCATAATAGCCCATATCAAGTGGGAACGGAAATGGATCCCAGAGCGATAACACGAGGGCGCTGACTCTTGTCTTTCAGGAAGATGTATATACACGATAAAATTTGAGTTTGGGTGTCGAAATAGCCATACCCTGGGAGAACGAAGAACAGGGAAGACCTGGCATCGGTAATACCGAAATTCGCCATCGACTCTCAGAATTGCGACAGCACCGAATTACGCCACTTCTTTACTCCTTCCACTTCTCCTTCTGGAAAGGCGCGAATTTGACAAAGCTGGCTCTGAGAGCCATTGGAAAGCCCCTTCAATCGCTTCAGAGATAAATTGAATCCAGAATAAATGCGTAAAAGCTGATCCGGGTAAGATCCAAGGATGGTAACTTCAGGTTTGATCTGCGGCCTACCGCCGACATATCTGAATTGTTCGCCAAGGTATCACATTTCCTTTCAACGGTTGATATCTACGAAGCTGAAACATCCTGCACATAGATTCATGAGACTACGTCAGATGCTGATCTCTCAAGCTTCACTATTTCAAATCAACCGCGTGGAAATGAAGTAAGGTTCTCAGAATTGAAAGGTAGATCTGTAAAAAGTCTTGGACTCAAGTGAGCTCGATGGTGTTATTTATTTTCGTGTCAGTACAACTGATGAACTCTCCAGCCACGGAGATCTTATTTTTGTGGGATACCAATCTAAACCGTCGTCCTCAATAGCCAATGATGCAGCCTCAGGATTACAACAGGATTCATCAATCGACGCCACAAAACGACCATGGGAGCTTGCAACCGAAGATCTCGTTGATAGCTACTGGCGTGGTCAGACTGGAATGTTGCCCCGTGGACGAGATGCGCAATTCTGCAAGCATGGTCCCAAAGGCATGTGTGATTATTGCATGCCTCTGGAACCGTACGACGTCGTGTATCACAAAGAAAACAACATTAAACATCTTTCATACCATGCGTATCTCCGCAAGATCACCCCCAAGACATCCTCTGCATCCTCATTCCTGCCTCCATTAACGCCTCTCTCCTACAAGGTCAAAATCCCTTGTCCAACCGGAGGGCATGCACCGTGGCCAGGAGGAATCTGCACCGCATGTCAACCATCTGCGATCACTCTCGCGTCGCAGCAATTCAGAATGGTTGATCATCTTGAAATTGCGTCCACGGATATTATCGAGCGCTTTCTCCATGCGTGGCGTAACACCGGCCTTCAACGTTTTGGATGGCTCATCGGACGTTATGAGCCTTATGACAAGGTCCCGATGGGAGTAAAGGCCGTGGTGGAAGCCATTCATGAACCACCGCAAGAGGGAGAGCTGGATGGGTTGACGCTCGGACTACCTTGGGAGGACGAAACGCGTATACGAGAGTTGGCTAAATCCGCCTCGACCCCTTTGACTATCGTTGGTTACATTTTCACCGATCTAGATCCAACACCGGAAGATAGGTCTAAGAATGTGTACAAGCGACACCCAGGCTCATTTTATCTTTCATCACTGGAGGCTATTTTCGCCGCAACCGTGCAGAAAGCCAACCCCACTCTGTCGCGGTCGTCATCCACAGGACAATTTGCCTCTCGATTAGTCACTGCTGTTTTAACTGCAACCGAAGACGGCCATGTTGATGTCTCTGCCTATCAGGTATCTGAGCAGGCTGTCGCCATGGTAGAGGCAGATATGATTGAGGCTAGCGTCGACCCGGGTATTGTTCGTGTGAAGGAAGAAGATCGAAGTCAGGAGACGGCGCGCTATGTTCCTGACGTGTTCTTCACTTTTAAGAATGAGTATGGGCTTGAGGTCAAAAAGAGTGCGAAACCTTGTTTCCCCGTAGAGTATCTCATGCTGAATGTACGTCGCCTCCTCGCCCTCATTGCTTGTTCCTGACTCTGCTCTCACGCGCGTAGGTCACACACGGCTTTCCTCAGAACCCGTCGCCCATGTTCAAATCTACTCGGTTCAAAATCGAAAATCGTCCTGGTCTTGAAGATCAGAGTGTGGAGCAGGTACTTTCTATTCTCCTAAGCCTAGATGCGCCCGATATTGTCGAAAGCCGCTTTGCCAAACCGGGCGAATTCCATAAGAGGAAGGAAATGGCGACTTGCTTAAGTGACTGGCATTTGGTAGCCTTCCTTGGCACAAGCCAGCTATTCTCACCGGTAGGTGTAGTTTATCAACGCTGTTAGCATACAGTCACTCAGACAAATGATTCTCAGGAGGATATGAAAGTCCTGATGCAGACTGTGTCACGGCAGGATCTTCTAGAGGAACCGTCTGCGCTCGATCCCCTTCTCGCTACAGATGGATGGCAAACACTCATGACTTTCACACGAGAAAGTGCTCGTATGTCTCTATCACACTTTGCTCTGGTCTTTCATTGACTTGTCCTCTATAGCAGCGCGTCCTTCGGATTCTGTACCGCCAGGTTCATCATCCCATATGGACGAGGACATACCACAGGAGGTGTTCGACCAGATCGCGGCCGAAGAGGCTGGCCACGGGGATTCTTCCCTCAGAGTCTGTCCGCACTGTACGTTCGCAAACGAGCATAGCCGTATGGATTGCGATGTTTGTGGGCTGCCTCTACAGTGACTTTGAATGAGGAGTCGTAGGGCAGTGTTGTGTTTGGGTGCAAGACGAGAAGCAGCGTCGACAGTGACTGTGGACCAACGAGGTGGAGTATAAGGGGAGACAAGAGATGCAAGGGGCGTCCAATGAAGAGATGTGGAGTCGATGGGATCTGGCGGTGGAGCATCGGGAGTAACTTGGAGGAAAACAAAGGGTGAAAGGATCATGAGAAGACGCTTTCCGAGAGATGTGGTGATTTCGCGGTCGTCGAGCTGACCGATGCATGTGTACTGGCGCTCGGCGAGGTCAATACCTATCTCCTCCCATGTCTGGCGCATGGCTACTCTGCAATCAGTAGGATAGAACGGGCCAAGTAACTGATTCCGCACCAGTGTAGGGTCCACCCTCGTCATCGGGCTCGGTCCTTCCGCCGGGAAACGCAACATGGGATTCTTGGGTGCTACGAGTCCGCGACTGGGCTAACGACACTTCGTCTGCAGATGCATTGTGGCGATGAAGGAAGAGAATCTCGGGTCGGGCATTGGGGTCGTTGACCCATTCTTGCTCAAAGAATTCAGAGAGAGTCGGTGGCGTTGAAGGAGAAGAAGGTGCAGGGGCAGAATGAGACGGAACGACACGGATAATAAGTGCGACAGATGCTCTTCGAGGCTCTATATGGGACGTCAGAAGGGCATTAACTCCATAGGAGATACGGACGGGTCGGGGGAGAGGAAATGACTCGGGGTGGGGTGGATCGGATGCGGTGGAGGGCTCTGGAGAGCAGAGGGACTATCGACGCGGGTTTTTCTGTGGCGCAAGTCAGGAAATAAAAGCGAATAAGCTGGAAACGGACCTTGCGCCATCGTAGTTGCACGCGAGCATCTGCGCCCCAAACTTTTATTCTGACGTAGCTTCGGCCGTTTCCGGATCCCCAAGACAGACGCCCATGCCCAAAAAGGTAACTGAGGCACTGCCAGGGTTCGAACCTGGGTTACGGGAAACTTCATTTCAAAATCCCGAGTGATAACCACTACACTACAGCGCCGCATGAGAGTGCTCTACGTCGTTGACACCACGTCCCGCGACGCGCTCATCCTCAGGTCACCACTCGTGCAGCCACTCAGCGGCCACCATTCATTGCCATTCATCAGGTCGTCCAACCCCAACGACACTTCACCGACGACCCCCTCCTCTTCATATATGATCCTCACCACAATCACGCATTCGGCCAGACTGGGACAAAAGAAGGCACACGTGGCTTTCCATGCGGGATGTGTCCCGCGAATTCGAGGTGTCGTATAGATGACCGCATCATCATATCCAAGGCTGACTTGCGCCACCGTACTCAAGCCATCTGCGGTTGATCCGCGCGGGGTCAGCCGTCGCGCTTCCGAAATATGCAGAGTAACTATTCCAGGGACTGATGTCGACGTCAAGGTTAGTCCGTAAATCGGGCATCTTGTATCTCACCGTAATCCGAAATGATGCCTACTTCCCTATCAACTGGCCAATATGCCAAGTTGACCAGCAGCTCTCCTCGCTGCTTCTCGTCCTTGCTTAAAGGCAGATTGTGTCCGCCATGGGCCGCGTCCTCTTTCAAACGCGATATATCAAATTCCGCTTCTCCGAGCAGTGCATGTCTTCGATATTCGTGGTGGTCAAACAACTGGAGGTGTAGCATCCCGGTCAATGAGTATACCACCATGTACTTCGTCTCCATCCATGTCGGTTCGAAACTAAGTTGTCAAGATCGTCGCGTATTTTTCCACGTCACAAAGTACATACTTATGGTATAAATGCTTGGTTGTTAAAATCTCTGCTGCGCCGTCGATATGGACGCTCACAAAGGGATCGGGGGCACTTCCGCGTAACCGACTCCACGAGATTATGTGTGCGGACTGAATAGTCAGGCAAAGTACGCCGATCGGGCTCATATATTATGATATGATATGATATCGGGCTGAAATCGCGATAGTGAGTGTGAGGACAGCGAAAGAGTGATATATAGCATCTTTGCACCATGATAGAGAATCAGTCCTTGCCTGTCATAGATAAGATTAGATCTTCTTTTACCATGATTCCAACGCCAGATCTCTCTCATTTGACCGCAAAAGATTACGAACACGTCTATGAACCCGCAGAGGATACATTCATCCTCCTTGACGCGTTAGAAGAGGACGAAAAGGAACTTGAGGAATTGCATCCCAACATATCACTTGAAATCGGGTGAGCTGCATCTGATAGTATTTTGAAGACTTCTCTCAAGGCGGCTCAGTTCAGGATCAGGTTGCGTTTCTGCATTTATCGGGAAAATCCTTGGACCGTCTGTATGTACGTTGCTTGACCTTCGGCCCACTTGTACGCTTGGTATCAAATACACCTCCAGTATACCTTTGCTCCGATATAAATCCATACGCGTGCACATGTACACACGCGACTGGTAGTCAAAACAAAGTTGGTTTACTATATATCCTTTTAATCTGGGCCTGAGGCATCTGTCCCTTCTTTATAGGTGGTGCTGGACGCCATAAACGCGAGCTTCGCCTCGCCACTATATACGCGACTCCAACGCACCGTCGACATCATATTATTCAACCCACCTTACGTCCCCACAATCACAGAAGAGATGAATGACGCGCAGGATCATTGCGGCATCTCAGGTTCCTGGGCGGGAGGCACGAATGGCATGAACGTGACCGACATATTTCTCGATCATGTCGAGGTATATTCAATTTACCTTGGTTTCTGAAAGCCCTTTTGTTGACACTCTGTCTGTCTGTGAACAAGAAACTGCTGTCGGAGCGTGGCCGGTTCTATCTTGTCGCTGTGGCAGAAAACGATGTCCCTGGCATTCAAGAACGAATGTTGAGATTGTATGGGCTGCAAAGCGACGTGAGTATTTTCTTGAGATCTGCTATCACGCATCTGACACAGGATAGATCGTGTTAAGCCGCAGGGCAGGACGCGAGCACCTGTTTGTAATAAGGTTCCTTCGTCGTCGGATACAAGAGAATGTTATTCACAACGCTGCCTGTCAATAATAATGGCTACTTCGCCAATTATGGTAGCAGCAATTAGGCAGTACAGAGCATGGATTAACGGGCTCGATAGCGTATCACATCTGGGACTATATCCACATGCTTTCGACGGTCATGTCATGTCTCCACTCGTCCTTCTTTCTATGAAACCCCGAATGTTCGCGTGCCCCTCTATGCGGCCGAAGAAACACCGCTTGCTCGCATTCTCCCACAAAACAACATCGAGTTCCTTTGCATAACCTAGCACCAATTCGTAGTCTGCCAGAGACGTGAATGACGTGTAAAGGTAACCTATCATCAGATGTTTGTCAGCTGCATCATTGCTTGAACACTCATGGCGTCAGACCTTCGGAAGATTTAAGTCGGTTTCGCTCGAGCTCCCAAAGTCGAATCTGATCTTGGACCGTTACTGGTAGTAAAGGGTTCTGGGATGGGTCATGATGTAAACTTCTTTCAAGTACTAATTAGAGACGGCTGACATTTTTTCGCATCTGAGGATGTGCATGAGTTATGAGATAGCTAATAATCTATCGACAAGTCATGAGCTCCGCATGCGAGATC